AAGCCGGTTGCTTTGCTGCTCGGCGACTGCTGCTCGGAGTCTGAGCTGCGCCAGCTGCAGCGTCAGCCCCACCCCTAGGGCCTCTTCTTTCGCTGCGCCGCGCCCCGCTTCACGCTGCCAATCCTCGCCCGAGCTGCCCTCCTAATCGGCAGCTCTTTTGACCAATCGAATCTCACATGCCAATTACAAGTCCCGCCCACCTCCACCCTCTCTTGCTGGTCCTTTCCCTACACCAGCAAGGGGTATGGAGGAGGACGTGGCGGTCGTTCGAGGACCCCCGTAGGGTCTGAGCTGGGGAGGAAGAGTGGCCGCTCCCACCTCCCTATACAGGTCTTAAAGACATGGGTCAGCTTGTTTTGATGCACTGAATCGAGGTAGAAGAGAAGCCATGGGAACAGCCTCCCCTTTTGATTATGTGTTGGTGGCAGCATAGTCATCAGGGCGCTCTGGCTTCGGCGGGGTCTTACTGCACTGGCTCCTTCAATTGGGCTGTCTGACCTATTCCCTCTTAGATCTTCTCCCCTACCTTACCTCCTCACGAGGCCACCACAGAGAGCTGCAGTAGGCATATTTTTGCTCTGCCTGTGAGGGGGTGCTGGCAGGGCCTGGGTTCTCCTGAAGGTCACAATTCTCCTTGGGGGCCCTTGCTATAGGGACCACAAGACCCTCATATATGTCCCCGAGGCCGAGTTCTCTGGCCTGATTCTCTGTAGTTGAGTTCTATGGGGAGAGGTCCTGGGGTTCTGGTCTCTGGATGGCTTTTCTTGTGCTCTTCATCCTCACCAACACACCCTGACCCCACACTTGGGTGGGTGATGGATGGTTGGTCCATGGGGCAATGCTGGAAATTGAATAGGTTGGTCTCTGCAGGCTTGGGCAGCAGACAGGGCCTTCTGAGTGGAGGGTTGGCACGACCTCCAACCCAGTCCCAGGTTCAGGTTGAGGTGGGTTTTCATTGTTAAATGCTTCCTGCCATTCCATCCCCACTCCCAGCTGCAAACTATTAGGCTGAGTTCTTTCTTTCTTTCTTTCTGTCTTTCTCTCTCTCTCTCTCTCTCTCTCTCTCTCTCTCTCTCTCTCTCTCTCTCTCCCACAAAGACTTTGTCCTGTATTTCAGACTCTCCAGGGCTTACTGCAGGTTCTGAGCCCAGCTGGTTCTGGGCTGTATGTGCCTTGTACGATAGTGTCCACCCTTATCCAGGCCTGCTCACTGGCTCCCCAACACAGGAGTCTTCAGCTTCTTCTTTTTAAAAAATTTATCTTTATTGTTGAAAATATTACAGATGTTCCCCTGAGCCCCCCACCGATCTCCTCCACCCCTCAATGCCCCCCCCCCTTTCCAGGCCTTCACCACACTATATTGGCTGTGTCCATGGATTATGCATATATACATATAAGTTCTCTGGTTAATCTCTTCCCTCTCCCCATTCCCCCAAGTCTTCATCTTCTTTTTGTTTGTTTGTTTGTTTTTGTTTTCTGTTAATCCTCACCCGAGGATATTTTTTCCATTGATTTTTTTAGGGAGAGTGGAATAGAGAGGGAAAGACAGAGAGAAACATCGATGTGAAAGAAACACATCGATTGGTTGCCTCCCACCCGAGCCCCGACCAAGGCCTGGGCTGGGTAGGAGCCTGCAACCAAGGTACGTGCCCTTGACCTGAATCAAACCACGGGACCCTTTGGTCTGCAGGCCTGCGCTCTACCCACTGAGCAAAACTGGCTAGGGCCCGAGTCTTTAGCTTCTTAAGTGGGCCTTGATGGTGGGTATGTTGGCAAGAGAAGCCCCTACCTATGAATTCAGCCAAATCTTCAGAATTGTCTCTGGAGTCACCTCCATGCTCCTCACAGTCCACCAACACAGCTCCAAGCATCCACTGGTGTCAGGGTTGGTGTGTATGCACGTGAGCTTGCGGTTCATTCCAGATAGGCTGTTCCAGAATCCCCTTAGGCTGCAGCTCCTGCCACCAGCTTTTCTCAGCTGTCTTACAATCCCAGCTTACTCACACCTGGAGGCCCGTGGTCTGCCTGCCTTGGTTCCCTATCTGATTCTACTGTATTCATGCAGACTTATACCCCTCCCTGACTCAGCACCCATGAGCATGGTCTCATCAGGGTCTCTTTTGCTCCCTTAGATCTGATCTTTATTCTCTCACAGCCCAAGCTGACCTGCTCAATTTCCCCATTCTCCCTTTTTTCAGCTCCTAGAACTGGTCCCACTTTTTCCTACAAAGCCTTCTGAGTCAGCCTTTATCAGGCCCCATAGAGACTGAGTTGCACTGGCAGAAACACCAGACACATGGATCTGAATGGCACGTGGGTCCTCCCAGCTCTGCTCCCCAGAGTCCTTCATTGACGTAAACCTACTGCTGGTGTCGTTTAGGACAAGATCTTCTATGCAGTACCCACAGATGTCACCACCATGGTACCCTCACTACAGGCCCAGCAGTGACCTCCTGTTGTCCTCTGGGTCAGAATCCAGAGTCTCTTCCTCTGCATCAGGGTCCCCAGATCAAGTATCTTAAAAGGTCACACTTCCCTTTCTCATTCTTCACCTTACCCTGCCTCATACCCACTCTCTGGCTCACCCACTCTCCACCTAGTGTGGTTATCTCTATTGAATCTCGAATTCCTACTACTGGGCCAGACACCCTCAAAAATAAACATTACTTTGCCTTCTCCAGTCAAGCCCTTGAAATTCTACCTCCTCCAAGAAGCCTTTTTTGGACTAATTGGAAGGGACCTAATGCTCTTTCCGACATCAGTCTTTTTAACCTCTTCTCCTGAGCAGCAGCTGCTACATAACAACTTGGTTAAGGGCTGGGCTCTGAGTCCCCAGTCCAAGATGTGCAGGATGGATATGGGTGACATTTTTTTTTAAAAAGCAGACAAAATAATCAAAACTAATCCTTAAAGAGCGACAGCATTTCTGTTATTAAAAAGCTAGAGATATTAAGGGAGGAGAGAGGGAGATTATGCCTCTATACAGGGTGGAGGCCTAGAGGGCTAAGCGTAGTGAAACCAGAAAGACTTGATGAGAAGGCGGGCTTTACAGAAGGACAATGACGTCCCCGCCACAACCACAAGTGTACTTTTCTGGTTGGGTTATATTTCAGGTCTATATTCTGTAACTGATGTATTTATCTGTATGTCGGTTCTGGTCTGTCCATTTCCCAGGGACATACACCAAACATGTCAAACTTGTGGCCCACAAGGAATATATTTGTGGCCCAGCCAATATAACAGTATGTAAGAAACATTTTAATAAAAATTTTGTAACTTAATTTTTCAATATCCTGCTATACATAATTATTAATAATGAACTACAACATTCGCTAATGGATGATTACTATAATCATGTTGCATTTATTTCCCTTACGCGCCTTATGCACAGGCGCACCATTTCTTTCCACTAATACTAGCAGCGAATATTTTAGCAGCCTACTGCCATGTCATTAGTCTTGTACTGACTTGTTTGGTGTGCACAACAGGAAATATTTTGCTTTTGGAGAACAAGAAAAATAGGTTTATTTGCATTATGCTTATTAATTTGTGGTTATTCAGTGTCCGATAAGTTAATGTTCAAGAAAAAATATTAATTATTATTAAAATGTTCTATTATTTTATGTTAACAATTACTCACTTATTTCAGCCCTTTGTATTCAGCATGTCTCTATCAAAATAAACCTATGTTTCTATGAAAATTGAAGCTTTTGTTTTTTTTGCAGCCCACACAAACTTAAACCTTGTTTATTTGGCCTCTGTTAGCCTTTGAGTTTTGACATGCTTGACATACACACTCCTCTGGGACAGTGCTGGCTGGATTAGACTCCTTTAGATGAGAAACCCCTTGTCTGTCTCCATCACTTTGGAGAACAATGCCCTGTCCAGATAAGCAGTTATTCCTGAAGGCTCTTTCTTTTTTTTTAAATATATTTTATTGATTTTTCACAGAGAGGAAGGGAGAGGGATAGAGAGTTAGAAAGATCAATGAGAGAGAAACATCAATCAGCTGCCTCCTGCACACCCTCCACCTGGGATGTGCCTGCAACCAAGGTACATGCCCTTGGCCGGAATCGAACCTGGGACCTTTCAGTCCGCAGGCCGACACTCTATCCACTGAGCCAAACTGGTTAGGGCCCTGAAGGCTCTTTAAGACCAGAATTGTAGGCCTAGATCAAGTAATGGAGGACCTAGATCAAGGTTTTAGCCTGTGTAGGAACATGGCCTTATTGGAGAATTGCACTTTCACTGTAGAGATGAGTCTTCACTGACTCCTCCCACCCCCATCTCTGGGAAGATGAACCCCACCTTTAAGGGAATATCTCCAGGCAATGCAGCTCAAACTCTTATGCCCTTTGGCTGTTTTCATCTCCCTCTCTGAGAGTCCATACATAATCTAGGAGGCAGGAGTTCTAGTCCATGGCTCATAAACGGTATGACTTGGGGAAGTCATTTCAGCTCTCTGGCCTCCCTTTCTTCACATTAAAATGTAGAAACTATATATTTTACTTTTATTATCAGATAAAAATTAATACTAAAGGAATAAGATAACATCTTGGGGACTGAACTTAAAATGATACCTAAAGTCTCTTCTAATCCACGAATCTGATTCAAAATTAATCTGTGCTGTGAATCTGTTTCCCTCTCTAGCTCCAGCCCTGTCTGGTTCTCCCTGGTCTGTTTCTGCCTGATGAACTCAGTCTCTGTGTGCACAGCATCCGTGTGAGGCCGGCATTTCTGCAGTTCAGCCCAGGAGACAAACGGGAGGGGTACTCAGGCTCTCAGCAATGCTTCAGAGGGGCCCCTGAAAGATGGCGAGGCGAAGGACAGGATGCCAAGATGGCTGAGGTCCAGGGTCTCCCCAGTAAACCTGAAGACCAGAGATCCCAG